AAAATGTTTCCCCATGTTAGTGTAAAGCTTTCTTAAACATTTTAATAGTTAGATAACATTTCAGTAAGTGGATCCCATTCCCCTGATTTGGGGCATATAGGTGTTTTTCGCCTTTGCTAATATAAAGAACAACGCTGGCTGGGCGCAGTGGCTGACGCCTATAATCCCAGCACTCTGGGAGGCAGAGGCGGGTGGATCACCTGCGGTTGAGTGTTTGAGAGCAGCCTGACCAACCTGGAGAAACCCCGTCTCTACTAAAAATACAAAATTAGCCAGGTGTGGTGGTGTGTGCCTGTAATCCCAGCTACTCAGGAGGCTGAGGCAGGAGAATCGCTTGAAACCGGGAGGCAGAGGTTGCGATGAGCCAAGATCAGGCCATTGCACTCCAGCCTGGTCAACAAGAGAGAAACTCTGTCCCACAGAAAAAAAGAACAATGCCTTGAACATATCCGTGCATTCATCTTTGTCAGAATTTTGGTTCCCAGTTACAAAACAGTAGAAAGATGCTCTTCTCTTTGTTAGGCTGACGGAGAGCTGCTGAGTAGTAGCTGTTGCAGACTCATGGCATGGGGCCTTCTGTTTCAGCTCTGCCTACGTGTCCTATGGGGGCCTGCTCATGAGGCTACAGGGGGATGCCAACAACCTGCATGGATTTGAGGTGGATTCCAGAGTGTATCTGCTGATGAAGAAGCTGGCCTTCTGAACGTCGCCGGAAGCCAGCCCTGCTGCCACGTCACACAGGTCCTGGACATCGTTCCAGCCTGAGTTGCAGCTGCTCCTGTTCACCTGTTGAGGAGAGGCTGGCTCCCTGTCCACTGTGGCTGCATCTTTAACTGGCCTGCATCAGTTAGAAACTCACTCGCCTGTGAAAGACACTGGGAGAGCTTAAAATCAATCGGAAGCTTGGTGTATATGATTTTTAAATCAAACGTTACTTTTTCAGACTGCCTCTCCCCTTTTTGTAAAAAGTTCGTTTACTGTAAAATCATTTTTTCCAATTTGTCTGTGGTGCACTGTTTCTGGCCCGAAGCCAGCTGCTCACTTGGCATTGTAGGTTCTATTCCAGCCTTTTGGTATCTGGGTTCAGGGTTATCCCAGTCTCCTGGCTGACTGTTCCCAACATTTATCCTCCAATGTGGTTTTCTGTCTGGGAGAGGGAGTGTTGTGCTTTTGGCTCCTGAGGGCACCCCAGGCTCAGAAGATACCACCCATTTGGCACAGAAGTTTGAATTGGCAAGGAGCCCTGCTCGTGTCCTTCCAACACTTCCAGTCTCTTAGAGAGTCAGTTCACGTTGACTTGAATGAGTCACTTGCATAGTCTAGAAATGTTCATTATTTTTGTGGAAGCTTTGGGTAGAGGCTTTTAGCTACTGGCATGGGGAATGACTCTGAAGAGTCGGAGGAGACGACTTGGTGCTTTTGGAGGCGGGTGGAGGAGCTGGCTCTCTGCTCCACATTCCAGTGGTGACCTGGGAGGGAGGGTAAGTGGAAGTGGACAGGGCAGCAATACCAATGAAGTTGGCAGGCCAGAGGCAGGGCCAGTGCCAGGACAATGTAGCAGCCCGACTACAGTCACCAACTTAGGAGTTGGCGAAGAAAAAGTATTAAGGAAACGGCTATGATGATAAGGACTCCAGCATGTGAGCTGGCTCCTCTGCTTGGCATTACAGGTCTCTAGGAAAGCACGTGGGATTCTGTTTTCCCCTAGGAAGTTTAGGGCTAACAACCTGACAAGGTTCCGTGTGTATTAAACAGTTGTCTGTTTGATCTGGCTTTGCCTGAGAGCTGGTCCCCCTGCTGGGATACCTGGGGTATTTCCTTCCCCATCATTTTCAAGTCTTTACATGAGGTGTTAGAAATAGTATTTAGGGAAATGGGTTGAAAATGAATGGCCTCAGCAGGGAGGAGGAAGAGGTGTTTCTTTTACCTTACTTTGGGTGGAATAGGGGGAGTAGATGTACTGGGGGTTGGGATGAATTTTTATGAAATCCTGGAACCTTTCCATGAGATGGGTTTTTTTGTGGGGTTGGAGAAGGACATATTTAAATTAGAGTGAGAGAAACAGATTACCTATAATAGTGTGTAGGTTATCACAGACTGTCCTGGCGGTCCTGGGGTAGCAGAAGGAAGAGAACTGGTATAACACTGAATGGGGATAGGAGTGTTCTGGTTGTAAGGGTTTTTTGTGTTAGTGGGAAGAAGGGATGGGACCAACCAGACTGATGTGGGAATGGGTTAGATTCGTACGTAACAGGGGCAGGTAAGTTCATACTAGAGAAGCCCACGAGTGATTTGCATTTGCCCACAACTGGAGTGAGTGAAATGCCAATACTAGATGCCTGGAAGTTTCTGGCAACATTTGCAGTTTGCGATTCCTGTCTGTCATTCTTCTGTGCTAAGAACCCATCTTGTCTGGTGCCATGGGTGTATCCTGTCCCAGGTGCTGGCACTTCAGTGTGCTATGAAGTGTTTCATTTGATTGTTACATTTACCCTAGCTCCCTATGTCAGTAAGTTACAGTTTCCGCTTAAGTTCCCGTGACTACATTCTAGAATTTGTAGTGTGGATGAACGAATTCTCTCCCATGTAGAAACGGACACTATTCGAGATTTGGACAACATTTGTGAGCTCTGTGCATTTGTTGATTCCTTCTCTGTGGAAACTGTTCTGTCCTCGAAGGGAGAGTGGGACATGGGAAGATGTCTAAATTGGTCACCTCCACTAAAAACATTGGTTTTCTCCTCAGATGTATCTACTCCCTAAGGACTTGGATGTCTTTCCCAGTAAACAGAATCATTCAATGGGGAGGGTATGGACCCTAGAGTGAGGTCAGACTAGGGTGCCTCTTCTCTTGCCCGCAGGCTGTGGTACCACTGATAACTCACCTGGCTTCTCTGAGCCTCAGTTTCCTCATCTCTAAAATAGAAAAGTTAACACCTGCCTTAGAGTTGTGTAAAAGTTACAAAAAGTAAGGTACACAAGGTTCCTGGCACATTGCCTTTCATTCCACTGCTTTGGAATGCCTTGGTGACCCTGGGGTATTTGTGGCAGTGTTTGGGTTTCTGGGTTCCTGGCTCCTCTACCACTGTGGTAGCCTCTCCTTCCTCTGGGGTGGGGGAGAGGAAGAAGCTTCCGCTAGTTTTCCTGCGGGAACCTCTAGAGGCAGCAGGTTGACTTTTGCATTGGAGTGTGTGTTTTTGTGCAACATAAACCTCCTTTTCCTGAGCACCAAGGCAGCACTTATTTGCGAAGCCCCATAAGCCTGACTCCTTTTGTAGAGAACCCCTGGAGGAGTTCCTGGTGGTCACACAGGGCTGCTTTTTAGGTGCACTTGTGGGAACTGGGAAGTGAGCCTTCCACTTGCACTGGGCTTGGGCTTGTTCTCCTGCTGCGGGAGCTCAAGGAGCCTGACACGTGCCACTTCCTGCACTTCCCCCTGACCTCCACAGGAGGGAGGCAGGCATCCATGCCTGGCAAAGCCTCCTGCTGAGCTGCCAAAGCTCTGGCTGTTTGCTCAGCTGGCATATCCAGGTCCTGTCTTTACTGAACTGTCTGCACAGCCTTACCTGGGGTGTGAGGCTCTCCAAGGCTTCCTGTTAGCTTTTTTGTTGGGGGCGGGAGGGTGAGGGGGATCTATCGCCACCCTCGAAGAACATCTTTCCCTTGCTTTTTAGGGAGCTTTCGGGTGCTCTCATTTATTCCTTATACAGGCTTACTTTTGTCTATTGTATAGGGACAGGCTTTCTGAGAGACAGCCTATTCATTTCTCCAGAGTCAAGGTCTGTTAAGAATATGGGGTCAGAGTCCCACCGAGAATGATAGTAAAGGGATGGGGGCGTTGGAAGGCCTTAAACTTGAAGCAAAGGAAACTACGCTTTCTCTGTTTTTTGACGCAAGGTTAGTCCCTCCCTCTGTTCAAATGCCAGGCCAGCCCAGGCCTTTGCAGAATTATCATAGAAAAAGAGCATATAGAGAAGCAGTGAGTTGCAAATTTCTGCAGAAAACAGACCAAAGATCTAGCTGCTCTGATGAATATTGTTGATAGCTTTAAAAAATAGCTTCGGAGGCCGGGTGTGGTGGCGCACGCCTGTGATCCCAGCACTTTGGAAGGCGAGGCAGGTGGATCGCCTCAGGTCAGGAGTTTGAGACCAGCCTGGCCAACAGTGAAACCCTGTCTCTACCAAAAATACAAACATTACCCAGGCGTGGTGGCGCATGCCTGTAGTCCCAGCTACTCAGGAGGCTGAGGCAGGAGAGTCGCTTGAACCTCGGAAGTGGAGATTGCAGTGAGCAGAGACCATGCCATTGCACTCCAGCCTGAGTGACAGAGTGAGACTCCATCTAAAAAACAAAAAAAAATCTGAAGGTTTCTAATGTACGATGAAAAATGATCCTTTTTCAGTCCTGTGTATCCCCTTTTCCAGGGCTTCAGGCTTCAGGAGAAAGTAGAAAATCTCATTCAGTTGTCCCCCAGGGGCTCCCCTAGGGGAAGGGAGCTGTACATGAGACAATGCTGACATCAGCAGTGCCTGAGAACCTTACCCTTCCTGAGACAGATTCTGGGAGTGGGTGTGGAATGTGTTTAGAACAGGGCTGATAGGGGTGGGCATAGGAGCAGAAGGGTCAGGAAGGCAGGGGGTGGAGCTGGATGGCAGGGGTGGGCAAGGTGGGTGAAAGAGGGAAGAATGTGTGCTGCCCAGTATAGCGGGATGGGTTGGGGAAGGAGAATATCTAGGCTGGAGGTTGGGTGGCAGGGAGCTGTGTCTGATGTTCCCGGGGGACAGGTCCAGGGCTCCTAGGGTCCTGCGTGAGGGTCCAGGAAAGAGTCCACGAGTTCCATTCAAGAGCTGGTGTGTCCTGTTCAGGTATCTGGGGTTGTGGTCCAGGGACTGGAGGTTTGGTTCAGCAGACCAGGAATCCTGGCTCTGAATCCCAGCTGCTGCTTCAGGAGCCCAGAGCCAGTAGTTCTGGCCGAGGCAGTGAAGTTTGTCTTCAGCAATCCAGAAGTCCTGTGTGGGAGCTCGTTCAGTGTGAGGACTGGAGAGGTTCTGCTTGGGACAGCTGTGGTGGGTGGGGCCCGCCTGCGCAGAGGGTGGGCCGTCCTACAAACAGCAGGAAACGCACCTTTCCTCGGAGTAGGTGTTGGAAGCTCAGGAAGATGTCATTGGGATCCTTGTGAGCTGTGGTCCTTCCCTGTGGAGGAAGCTGAGGGCAGAGAATGGCCCTGAGGCCAGAGACCAGGGCCCGATCTCAGGCCTCCCTTGTCTTCAGTAGGAAAAGCAGGATAGCAGCACCCGGGAGTTATGGCTGGCAGGGAGCACTCTCAGGAGACCAGCTCCTCTGGCCTTGAGCTCCCTGGAAGACTGCTTCTTCCCCAAGGCCTTCTAGGGGAACTGAGTCAGAAAGGAACATTGACTGGGGACTTACCTGGGTTCCAAGGAGGCCCTGGAGGGCCCCAAGGAGGAGACGGACTTGTCCAGAAAGCTGCCCCAGGAGGGATGAGAGGCAAGTGGGTCCCAGTTGTCTCCGTGCTGCCATCACGCCCTCCAGCAGGAGGGTCACAGCTCCCAGAATGTCCTGTGCCTTGGTCTGCTCCTGAGAAAGAGATGCAAGAGAGAAGTGTACTGCTTCAAAGGGCACATTAACAGCGGGTGGGGGCCTGTAGGAGGAGCCAGCAGAGTGAATCATACGGGCTGAGACCTGGACCGGACCAGGGTCCCACCCAGCGCAGGAATTCCTTCACAGTCTCCCGACAGTTGGTCAGCAGCCTCTGCTTCAAAAACTCCAGTGTCCGCAGATCCAGTGGACTTCATTGAGAAGAGATCCATGTTTTCTTACGTTGCTGAAATCTGCCCTGTTATAGCTTTTACCTCTTGGTTCTAGTGCTGCAAATCTACTTTTTCTGCTGTAAAACCTTAGGACCAAATGATTTTTAAACTGAATGAAGGCTGGGCATGGTGGTTCACGCCTATAATCCCAGCACTTTGGGAGGCTGAGGTGGGTGGATCACCTGAGGTCAGAAGTTTTAGACCAGCCCAGCCAACATGGTGAAACCCCGTCTCTATTAAAAATACAAACATTAGCTGGGTGTGGTGGCAGGCATCTGTAATCCCAGTTACTCAGGAGGCTGAGGCAGGAAAATCACTTGAACCCAGGAGGCAGAGGTTGCAGTAAACCAAGATTATGCCATTGCACTCCAGCCTGGAGGATACAGTGAGACTCCATCTCAAATAATAATAATAATAATAATTAATAATAATAAAACTCTAAATGTAGATATGAGACGCTATCATAATGATCATAAAGATGAAAAGAAAGGACTGGCTGGGCACGGTGGCTCATGCCTGTAATCCCAGCACTTTGGGAGGCCAAGGTGGGTGAAT